GGAAGGGAGTACTGAGGTCCTATTAGGAAACCCACATTTTTTTTTGGGGGGGTCTGGTCGTGGGGCCTGAACTCTGGGCCTGGGCGCTGTCCCTCAGCTCTTCAGCTCAAGGCGAGCATTCTACCACTTCCATTTTCCTAGTGGTTTATTGGAGATAGGAGAGTCTCATGGACTTTCCTGCTTTTGAACCGCGATCCTCAGATCTCAGCCTCCTGAGTAGCTAGGATTATGGGCGAGAGCCATCACCACCCAGCTGGAATTTACATTTTTAATCAATGGATGGAAGTCAAATACATGTCTTCCCTATTTGTAAATAGCGAATGTCAAATCTCACTGTTCTTTCATGTGTCCGCCCCTCCCTCCCGGGACACTGAGTGTGAGTGAACATGGGCTTTGTTTTGTCTCCAGCTGTTCCCCTCCGCGTCTCTGGCAGAGCCTGGCCCGTGACACACAACTCAGTACTTAACTGCGGAGTGCATGAGTACTTACCAAGCAGGGTTCTGAAAAGATCTCAGTGAGTGCAAAGAAAATGTGAGGAGCTGGGCTCCGGTGGCTCACGCCTGTCATCCAAGCTACTCAGGAGGCTGAGATCACTCAGGAGGCTGAGATCTGAGGATCGCGGTTCAAAGCCAGCCCAGGCAGGAAAGTCCGTGAAACTCTTATCTCCAATAAACCACCAGAAAACCGGAAGTGGCACTGTGGCTCAAGTGGTAGAGCACTCGCCTTGAGCTGAAGAGCTGAGGGACAGCGCCCAGGCCCAGAGTTCAAGCCCATGACCGACCAAAAAAAAGAAAAGAGAAGAAAATCTGAGGAATATCAGAGACAGGCTCAGCACCTAGCTACTTACCTTTAGCATTCTAGGTTAATGGAGGACTTGAACTCAGGGCCTGGGCTTGGGAGGCAGATAGATGCTCTTTCGCTTTTTTTCCCCCCCTCAAATAGTCTCCCAGTTTTGCCTTAGGCTCAGCCTTGTCCTAGACACCCCTCCTCCCAGGCATGGTGCTGTCCACCTGCCCTGGTCAGTAACAGCGCAGTGTCCAGAGCCCATATAAAGCTGGAATTCACCCTCTGGGTTGGGGGCAGGGTGGGCAGATGCTCAGAAGTACCCCCAAGTCTCTCCTGTAAGGATTAATTTAGCTAAAAGGAGACAAGATGCCATGTAAGTCATCCTAAAGGGCCACTCCCAAAGCAGGGCTGGGTCAAGCATCCTATGCGAGGTTTGATCCCCTAAATGCACACAGTAGCCTAATCCCCAGAGTCTTACGTTAATGGTATTAGGAGAGTGGGTGACTAATCCCACTGTGGTGTTTGGAAGTGATTTGATTAGATTAGGGCATGAGGCTGAGCCCTGGTGATTAGATCCTGGCTGGCTACATAGGAGGGAGGGAAGAAGAGAAGAAGAGAGAGACCTCTCTCTCTCTCTCTCCCTCTCCCCCCTCCCTTCCTCCTCTTTTCCCCCTCCCCATCTTACCCCCCCTTGTGTGGTCCATACTCCTACCACCAGAATCCATGCCACGCTTTTTCTACTTTGTGCACTGTGAGCTATATCAACCCATCTGTGAAGTAACTGGCCCCAAGCATTCCATTGTAGTGGGAGGAAAAAAAAAAAGAAACACAAAAGCAGCTGACCACTACATCCATCACTCAAAGGATCTCGTGGCCTCCTGGGGAGACCTTCTTCCCCAGCCCTCCTGGTCTGTTGCCTTCCTTGCTACAGCATCCGTGATGGCTGCTGGACTAGATCTGTTTGTTTTACCCCTGAGATCTGATATGTATTTTATTTTTGGTCAGTCTTGGGGCTTGAATTCTGGACCTCGGCGCTATCCCTCAGCTCTTCAGTTCAAGGTGAGTGCTCTACCACTTGAGCCACAGTGCCACTTCCGGTTTTCTGGTGGTTTATTGGAGATAAGAGTCTCCCAGACTTCCTTGCCCGGGCTGGCTTTGAACCTCAGTTCTTCAGATCTCAGCCTCCTGAGTAGCTAGGATGACAGGCGTGAGCCACTGGCATTCAGCATATTTTTATTTCTTTTGTCAGTCATGGGGCTTGAATTCAGGGCCTGGGTGCTGTCTCTGAGCTCTCTCGATCAAGGTTAGCACCCTACACTACAGTGCAACTGTTTTCTTGTGGTTAACTGGAGATGAGTCTCACAGGACTTTTCTTCCTGGGCTGGCTTTGAACCTCAGATCTCAGCCTCCTGAGTAGCTAGGATTACAGGCATGAGCCACCAGCTCCTGGCTCAAAGTAATTCTTCAATGCTAGGATTTGAACTCAGGGCCTTGTGCTTGCTAAGTAAGTGCTCTTCCACTTGAACCACACATCCTTCCCCAGCCCTTACATTTTTGTAGCTTACAAGCAGCATGCATTGACTGAGAGATGAGAGTTAGCCGACGTGGTGCCCTGCCTGGCAGCCTGGCTTGGGCCATGTTCTGACAAGCAGAGGAGGAATTCACAGGCTTTCTGGAAGGACGCTTTGTCATTGTTGCGTCAATGCCGTCTCAGGCTGCTTGTGGTTTTTCAAGCCTGGCTTTTTATAGCATGGTGGTGAAGAATGGCGGGCTCAGAATCACAGGGTCTGAGTTCAGGTTCTGGCTCCATTGTGTGATTTGGGGCAGGGTCTTGACACCCTCCCCCCTCCCCCTCCCCTCTGAGCCTCCATTCTCTGTGTTCTCTGCTTTGGGCCTGACTGACAGCCAGGGTGCTGAGGCACTGTAATGTAGCCAACACTTTGGCTGAGAGAAGCTACAGTAATAAGTGAGGCTGGGAAGGTGGCTCAGTGGTAGAGTCCTTGTGTAGCATGCATGAGGTCTTGGGTTCAATTCCTCAGTACCATATAAACAAAAGACAAGTGAGTCTTGGATTTTTTTTTTTTTTCCTTTTCAACACTTTGGTTTTGAACTTGATCTTGTACTTGGTAGTTCCATGCCCTTCTTTGGAACTCCGGGTCTCTAACAGTGACCAAGGCTCATCTTACACTTGTATGGGCCTGTGGTGGGCTGTCCATGTGGGCTCAGGTGACTCATAGGACACCTGTGCTGAAGGGACATAGTGTTCACTCCACACTCCAGGCCTGCAGAAATGAGATTTTTACATAGGAGAAGGCCCACTGTGCGTAGGGAGTGTCTGCTTTTAGCCAGGCATGGTGGTATGTACCTGTAATCCCAGCTACTTGGGCATGTGGCCAAATCAGGAGGATCTGGAGTTTGAGGCCCATGAAGGTAAAGTTAGTGAGACCCTGTCTTAACAATAAAATCCAAGGCTAGGTGCTGGTGGCTGTCTGTAATCCTAGCTACTCAGGAGGCTGAGTTCTGAGGATTGCAATTTAAAGCCAGCTCAAGTAGAAAAGTGCAGAAGACTCTTCTCTCCTATTAGCTACCAGAAAACTGGAAGTGGAGCTGTAGCTCAAAGTGGTAGAGCACTATCCATGAGCATAAAAGCTCAGGGACTGCACCCAGGTCCACAGTTCAGGCCTTAGGACTGACAAAAAATAATAAAATAAAATGCTGGGTCCTTGGTCCAGGCTATATAGACAAGGTTGGTGTGAGTTGAGCTGGGTGTGGGTGTGGGTGTGTGGGGGGGTAGCATTCTACAGCCAGTTGCCCCAGGACTGGACTGATAACACAAAGTTTGGAACAGGAATGATCAAATAATTTTTTTGGTGCAGGTACTGGGGCCTGAACACAGGACCTTGCACTCTTGCTTGGCTGATGCTCTATCACGTGAGCCACAGCTCCACTTCTGGCTTTTCTTGCTCCTTTAATTGGATAAGAATTTCATGGTCTTGGGGCTAGGAAGGTGGCTCAGTGGTAGAGCGCTTGCCTTGCATGCCTGAGGCCCTGGGTTCAATTCCTCAGCACCACATAAGAAAAAAGAAAAAAGCCGGAAGTGGCGCTGTGGCTCAAGTGGTAGAGCGCTAGCCTTGAGCTGAAGAGCTGAGGGACAGCACTTAGGCCCAGAGTTCAGGCCCTATGACCGGACCCAAAAACAAAACAAAACAAAAGAATTTCATGGTCTTTTCTCTCTGCACTGGCTCCAAACTCTGGGTCCTCAGATCTCAGCCTCCTGAGTTCAAGCCCTAGTACTGGGAGACCCACAGACACACTCACAGACAGACAGACACACACACACAGGAAGTCATACAAGGGCACCTGAAGATGCTTAATGGAAGGTGGGATATTTGCTGGAAGACAGGATGTTGGGCAGTAGCGTGGGGGGGGGGAGGGGAGGAGGGGAAGGCGTCACACATGCGCAGTGTAGTGCGCCTCCCTCCCGAGCATGCGCAGTCCTTCTGCTGGGGGAGGGGGGGGGACCCTGTAGAAGCTTTGGCCCTTGGGCAACTGGGTCCCTTGTGTGCAAAGTCAGAGGCCGTCCAGCTGGAAGCAAGGTGATGCATGTTTGGGTGGGAAGAGGAAGTCTGCCCGGGTGTAAGGACTAAGTTAGTGTCCCGGGCACTTAGTAGGACGGAACTGCCTGAGGTTGGCTGAAGTACGAGTGATTGATAGGTAAGGCCCTGGATGTCCCGGATGTTCACCGCGCGCCATGTTTTGGGTAGCCTTAAGCTTCTATTTGCCCCCTCTTCTCTCTCTTGAAGCTTAATAGTTTATTTTTCTCTTTTTAAATGAAACATTCTCATTCTGTAACCCAGTCGGGCATGGAACTCATGATCCTCCAGACTCACTTGCCCACGGTTGGGATTACACCATGCTGACTCTCCATTCTTCCCCATCCCTTTTTGTTTTTTTTTGTTTTGTTTTGGTGCCAGTACTGGGGCTTGAACTAGGGCCTCATGCTCTTGCCTGATTCTTTTGCTTAGGGCTGGTGCTCTCCCACTTAAGTCACACCTTCATGTTGGTCTTTTTGCTGGTTAGTTGGACATGGGAGTCACAAGGACTTGGGCTGAGATCCTCAGATCTCAGCTTCCTGAGTAGCTAGGATTACAGGCGTGAGTCACTGCACCCTTGCTGTCTGTTGACTTATAACCTTTCTCTCGTTCTCTCCACAGCTGGCCCCCAAAAGGACACTTTTCAAGTCCCCATCTGGGGGCTCCGTGTAGACCTGGAGTGGACACCCCCTCCTTCCCTTCATGATTCGTTTGTAGCACAGGTAACAGGGGTGGATCCCAGATCATCTCAGAGGGGCAGCTGTCTTCCGCACATCCCTGCTTGGCAGAGCCTGGCTTAGCAAACTTCCTTCAGTTCTTTGGCCTAGCCTGGGCCTGCTGGGGCCCAACCTTGGGCCATCCCCCCTGCCTCCCGTAGCTACAGGAAGGTCTTTCCTCCCCGCTACCCCCTTCCCTCCAAATCCTTTGCACAGCTTGCCTTTGGGAGATGTCTATGGCTGGTTGGGAAGAGCAGGAATTGTAGCTCACAATCTGTGGATGCAGGAACAGGTGGAGGCTGGAAGCTGGGCCAGGGGCAGGACAGAGTTTTTGCTCCTCTCCTGTGCAGTGAGAGTCTAGGAAGGGGCCTCTGTGATGCTCCCTGGACCAGCTCAGAAAGGGAGAAAAAAAAAGATGTCAGGCGGGGTGTGGTTGTGCCCATCTTTAATTCCTAGCTCTTGCTGTGGCATAGGTACGCTGATTGTGGTCTTTGGTCCACCAGGGCAAAAGCACAAGACCTGATCTAAATTAAAACCAAAAGGACCAGGGACTGTGGCTCAAGTGCCTAGCAAGTTCAAGGCCATGAGTTCAATCCCTCATGCCACCAAAAAAGGAGAAAAAGGCATGTGGCCCCAGGAATGCATGCTCTGTCTGGGCCAAAGGACTGTGAGAGAACACCCCCCCTCCCCTTCTGAGCCAGTCTTTGTCCCCAGAGCTTGGTTACGTCACAGAGCACTTGAAGCTGGGGTAGTCCGGGTGCTGATGAGGACGCTGTTAGGTGTATTTAGAGTGCCAAGAGGATGAGAGGCTGAGAAGCCTCTGGGGGCATGTGAGACTGGGTTGGGGGTGTCTTTACACAGGGGTAATCGTGATTGTCACACTTGTGTCAGTGAGGTTCAGGACCCTTGGACACCCCCCCCCCCCCGGGAGGGGAGGATGCAAAGCCGTAGTCCTGGGCTGGGACACCCACCACCCGGGGCTGTGTCTGCTCCTCTGTGTCACTGGAAAGGAAGGTGGCCTAGGAATGCACGCAAGGCCTCATCCATCTGGGGGTTTGGGCAGAAAGAAAGGTGTGAGGTCCCATGCTGCTTGGAGGGACGGAAGGATGGAGACGGGATGGACATTTCAACGGGGAGGTGGATGGATAAATATTGGGAGCTGGGTGCCAGTGGCTCACACCTGTAATCCCTAACTACTTAGGAGGCTGAGACATGAGAATCATGGTTCAAAGCCAGTCTGGGCAGGAAAGTCTGTGTGAGACTCATCTCCAGTAGGCTACTCAGAAAAGACTAGAAGTAGCACTGTGGCTCAAGTGGTAGAGTAGTGCTAGCCTTGAGCACAAAGAGGCTCTGGGACAAGCACCCCGAGTTCAAGCCCCAGGACCAGGAAAAAAAAAATTGGGAAGACCAGTGGACAGATGTGTAGGAGGACCGGTAGATGGGTGGAGAGTGGCAGATGGGGAGGGCATGGAAGAAGGGCTGGAGGGTCTTGGCAGGATCTTGAGGACAGAGGGATGGTGGGGTGCTTTGGGAAGATGGTGGGCTCCCTGAGGGCTGGGAGGGCTGTTGGGTCACAGTTTGGGGAGCAGCATTTCCTGCGGGCATGGCACTGTGCTGACGAGGCCCCTGTCCCCGGGGGCTGCACGAGCTAACCTTTGTGAAGCGCTCGGCCGGGGCGGGCTCATGTCAAGCGCTCAACAAACATTAGCCCTCCTCATCCTCATCATTGTGACCATGGAGGTCAGCCTCTTGGGCCCCCCCCCAACCCTGTGAGTCCTCCTGCCTCACCTCCCGACACCCTGCCCTCCCTCCTGTGCCTAGGGCCCTCTCTGATCGGCCCCCATCCTCGTCCACTTCTGGATAGGACAGGCCCCTAGTACCCGCCACCTATTTGCAGGGCGGTGGAGAGGAGACATGTGGATGCCCCCCGCCCCTCATGTGCAGGGTGGGGGACAGTCCCCATTGTCAGCAGCAGCAGGCACTGGGGGCATTTGGGGCATGAGGAGAGGAGAGGAGGATGCCCCCAGTCAGGCATTTCTGGCTAGGAGGGGAGGTGACACTCACCCCCATCTGTCCCCACGGACCCAAGGGAACATCAGCTGTGGCTCCCTCCAGGGGGCTCCCCTGAAGGGAGGGGCCGGGCAAAGTGGCACAATCTAACCTTGTCTCCCTCGCCCTCTTCCCGACCCCACCCCATCCAGTGGCGATGGATGATGAGGATGGGAGATGCTTACTAGACGTGATTTGGTGAGTAACGCCGCACCCCACCCCCCCTGCACCCCTTCTCTAACAACACCCCCCCACCCCCCACCCCCCCCGCTCACCTCCTCAGTGTCTCCTCCCTCTCTTTCAGTGACCCTCAGGCGCTCAACGACTTCTTGCATGGATCAGAGAAGGTAAGTGCTGGGGTAGGAAGGGGCACTGCTTGGGTAGGAGGCGGCAGAGTGGGCATCTCCTGATGGGCACTGGGCTTTTGATGGTGCCAAGCGACACAGATAGTGAATGCCTGCCCTTATGCCATTGACAGTTTCCAAGTGAGGAAGTCAGTCACTGACAGAGGTGATCAGGGATAGCAGAGGGGGATCAGATAATAGGAGGTTTAAAAGACAGGGCCAGCCGGGCGCTGATGGCTCATGCCTGGAATCCTAGCTACTCAGGAGGCTGAGATCTGAGGATCTCGGTTCAAAGCCAGTCTGAGCAGGAAAGTCTGAGACTCTTATCTCCAATAAACCACTAGAAAATTGGAAGTGGTGCTGTGGCTCAAGCGGTACAGCGCTCGCCTTGAGCTGAAGAGCTGAGGGACAGCGCCCAAGTCCAGAGTTCAAGTCCCATGACCGACAAAAAAAAAAGGGGGGGCCATGCCTAGCGCTGGTGGCTCATGCTTGTAATCCTAGCTACTCAAGAGGCTGAGATTTGAAGACTAGTTCAAAGCCAGTCCAGGCAGGAAAGTCTGTGAAACTCTTATCTCCAATTAACCAGGAAAAAACCGCAAGTGGTGCTGTGGCTCAAATAGTAGAGCACTCACCTTGAGCTGAAGAGCTGAGGGACAGCAACCAGACCCAGAGTTCAAGCCCCACGACAGACCAAAAAAAAAAATTTAGCACCCTGCCAGATGCTGGTGGCCCACACCTGTAATCCTAGCTACTCAGGAGGCTGAGATCTGAGAACCATGGTTCAAAGCCTGCCCAGGCAGGAAAGTCTGAGACTCTTTATGTCCAGTTAATCACCAGAAAACCAAAAGTAGAGCTGTGGCTCGAAGTGGTAGAGCACTAGCCTTGAGCACAAAAGCTCAGGGCAGCACCCAGTTTCTGAGTTCAAGTCCCATGACTGACAAAATGAAAAAGCTGGGCACTTGTACTTATGCTTATAATCCTAGCTACTCAGGCGATCTGAAATCTGAGGATCATGATTCAAAGCCAGCCTGGGCAGAAAAGTTGACATGAGACTCTTATCTCAAGTTAATGCCTCAAAAACCAGAAGTAAAAACCAGAAGTGGAGTTGTGGCTCAAAGTGGTGGAGCAACTAGCCCTGAGCAAAAGAGCTCAGAGACAGTGCCCAGACCCTAAATTCAAGCCCCACGACCTACTCCCACTGCCCCCCCTCAAAAAAAATAAGACAGGGGTTACTGTGAGGAGGTGATGTTGACAGATGTCATTGTGAGACAAGGAGCAGAAGGAGGGGGAAAGCAGTGGGTGTGAGGATGGAGGAGACACAAGTCACTCGCTTCTGCAGGCCTGGTGGACCCTGCTAAGCAGCTGTGCATGTGACTCTGGGTTGTTAAGCAAGAGAATGGGGGTTTGGGTTTGCACCGCAGAGGCTACCTCTGCAGTGGTGGTGAGCCGAGGAGCGGAGTTCATTTTCTACAGCAGTGGAGGTATTGACTGGGGCTGGGCTTAACCGAGGGCCCGCCCAGGGCCAGCAGACGTGCATACCCTTCGCTCCTTCCTGTGGCTGTGGGCAGGAGGTGCCAGCTCCTGACCATGTGAGCCCTTGGCACCTAACAGATGCTTTCCTCAGAGCCAGGGAGCCAAGAGAGCAGGGCAGGAGCTACAGTCCTCTCTCTCTTTCTTCTCTGCCAATCCTGGGGCTTGAATTCAGGGCCTAGGCACTATCCCTGAGCTTCTTTTGCTCAAGGCTAGTACTCTACCACTTTAGCCACAGCACTAGTTCTGGCTTTTTCTGTTTATGTGCTACTGAGGTGTTGAACCCAGGGCTTCATGTATGCTAGACAAGCCCTCTATCACTAAGCCACCTTCCCAGCTCATATTTACTTACTTATTTTTGTGCCAGTCCTGGGAAGTCAGTGATCTACGCACTGTCTCTGAGAATTTTCCACTCAAGAATAGTGCTCTACTGCTTAAGCCACAACCCCACTTCGGGCTTCTTGCTGGCTAGAGATAAGACTGTCCTGGACTTTCCACTCCTCCTGGCTTTAAACCAAGATCCTCAGATCTCAGCTTCCTGAGTAGCTAGGATTACAGATACCAACCACTAGCACCTGTCTCATAGCTTTTATGACCCAGCCTCCAGAGACCTCCATAGTCATTTTTATTGCATTTGTGCTCATTGAAGAGAATCCTAAAACGCACTCATGCCTTGAGGGAGGCAGGGGCGCTCACTCCAAATCTATTTTTTATTGTTTTAGTTGTGTTTTTGGATTTATTATTTATGCACTAGTGTCTATTTTTTATTGTTTTAGTTGTGTTTTTGGATTTATTATTTATGCACTAGTGTCTTTGTTTTGAGACATGACCCAGGCTGGCCTCAAACCTTCAGTCCTCCTAAGTGCTGGGATTATAGGCACGTGCCACAGTGCCTGGTGAGCTCAGCCTTGCAGGGCAGCAGGGGGATGGGCTGTGAGCCCTTGGATTTGGGCACCTGTTGGTGGACATAGAATCAGGTAGAGTTGGTAGTGGAGCCACTATCTAGGGGTTGAAGAACCCCAATGATGGGGAGTCTAGGGAACATTCCAGAAGTCCAGTGGGGCGGGGTGGTGGATGTGTGTGGGTCAGGGCCCACCTCAGGTGCCCTGGAGTCTGGGCAGGTCCTTGCCCGCTGGGCTGTGCACTGGGAGTCCTGTTGGGTGCTTGGACTGAGTTGCAGAGGGAGGCGCTTGGTGAAGACAGGGACAGTCCCTAGGGGCAGGTGGCATTTGGGATGAATCCCAAGGATGCGGCAGATGCTGGGAGGGGCTGCTTAGTGCCCACAGGAGCTGTGCACTCAAGGCAGGCATATCTGGGGGCATTCTACAGCAGGCTGGGCGGGGGGGGGGGGAGTTCCGCTACAGACCTCTTTCTCTGGAGCCTCTCTTCTGAAGCTCAGGTTCATGCCTTGCGCCAGCCCCCACCCCAGCAACTTGTTGTTTTATGTAGAGTAACCCTAAATTGGTTTCTGCTCTAGAGCCTGAGTCTGCCCTGCTGACCTTTGACCTTGGGTGGGGGCGGGTCTTCTTGCAGCTGGACAGCGATGACCTCCTGGATGCCCCTGTGGAGGCCCAAAGTGCCTTCTACGAAGGTTCTGGGGTAAGTGGCCCCAGCCCCCTCTTGTTTTGCTAGGCAGAGCAAGGGGCAAAGAGGGAGGGAAACCTGGGGGACCGGCATGGGGGTGTGGCCTGAGGACCTTTATTGGTGGCAGGGCCTGGGCTTTCACTGGTGGGGATGTGGCCTGAGGGCCTTTATAGGTAGGTGTGGCCTGTGGGCTTTCAGGAGTGGGAGCATGGCCTGAAGGCTTTCATGGGGTAGGGGGTGTGGCCTGAAGGCCTTCAGGGGTGGAGGTTTTGCCTGGGGCTTCCATGGGGGGCGTGGCCTGGGGGCTTCCAGGGCCAGGTGCTTAGTTCAAAAGCTCCCACAGGCAGGGGTGGGGCTGAGAGGGCTGCTGTGCCTGTTTGGCCTGTTCTGTGAAGAAAGTAGAGGGCTGGGAAGGTGGCTCAGTGGTAGAGTGCTTGCCTTGCATGCATGAGGTCCTGGGTTTGATTCCTCAGCACCACATAAGCAGAAAAGGCCAGAAGTGGTGCCATGACTCAAGTGGTAGAGTGCTAGCCTTGAGCTGAAGAGCTGAGGGACAGCACCCAGGCTCAGAGTTCAGGCCCCACAAATGACCAAAACAAAAACAAAACCGCAGAGCCAGTGGCCTGAGTTAGTGGCCTGAGTTAACTGGGATGGAGGCAGAGCCAGTGGCCTGAGTTAGTGGCCTGAGTTAACTGGGATGGACGCTGGCCCTGGGCAGTCACAGGATTAAGTAATAAATCACTTAGTGCATTTATAGGCCCAGTAACAATGTTGACCCGGCATTTCTATGTATCTTGTGACTATTATTCTGGTTTTTGAACCTCACCTTGGCCTTCCCTGGGACTGTGTGCCCCACCACACGCAACCTCATAACCATTCTTTTTTTTTTTTTTTTGCAAGGTGGGGAGGGGGAGAGTTGTCAGTCCCTGGGACTTGAACCTAGGTACTGTCCCTGAGCTTTTTCTGCTTATGTAGTACTGAGGAATCGAATCCAGGGCTTTCTGTATGCTAGGCAAGCACTCTACCGCTGAGCCACCTTCCCAGCCCAGTGATCATTATTATTATCATAGCAATTGTTTTCTCCACCCTGTAAGGTAACATTTTGCATACTTGTTTTCACAACTGTTCTAGGAGCCTGGCTGGTTCCGTATTTGGCAATTGCACAGGGTTAGGGTCCTGCCAGCCCCACCTTCCTCTCACGATGCTTCAAAGTTTTTCTGATTCTGGAAAGGCTGTGGCTCAGCCACTGTGCATAGCGTCACTCACTCACCTTTATTATGTTTTGCAGTACTGGAGACTGAATTCAGGGCTGAGCTCACCTGCCTATCACCAGAGCCCTACATAGCTTTGATTCTTTCTGCTGATAGGTTTTCAGATAAGGTCTCAGTGTAACACCGAGCTGGGTTGGCCTCAGACTCATTCTCCTACCTCTGCCTCCTGAGTGCTGTGACTTCAGGTGTGAGCCACAGCACCATACACATTCACTTTTCAGTGGCCAGATGTAGGGAAGTTCAACCAGACAGAGCCATGTCTCACCTAAAGCACTGGGGAAGCTTGGCTGCTGCAGAAGTTATGAAAGTCATTGTTGTTTTTTGTTTTAAGAACAATTTGAGGTTTGAGAATCACAAGTATTGTGGTCTTCTATGATTAGCTAAGTAACAGGCATGGTGGAGCACACCTGTAATCCCAGCACACTGGCAGGAGGATCTGGAGTTTGAGGCTAATCTGAGCTATAAAGGAAGACCTTGACTCAAGAGAAAAAACAAACAAAAAACTCCTTTCTGCTCATGGGTACTGGATGCAGGTGGAGAAACAGGCTAGATTAAGAGGCTCTAGGTGGCTGTGTGCTGGTGTCTCACACCTATAATCCTAGCTATTCAGGAGGCTCAGCCCTTAGGTTCAAAGCCAGCCCAGGTAGGAAAAATCTATGAGATTCTTATCTCTAATTAACCACCAGAAAACCGGAAGTGGCACTGTAGCTCAAAGAGCTTGAGCGCTGGCCTTGAATGAAACAGCTCAGAGACAGCGCCCAGACCCTGAGTTCAAGCTCCACAACTGACAAAAAGTTTTTTTTTGTTGTTGTTGTTATTGTTTATTTGGTCGGTCATGGGGCTTGAGCTCTGGGCTTGGGCTCTGTCCCTCAGCTCTTCAGCTCAAGGTGAGTGCTCTACCACTTGAGCCACACACCACTTCCGGTTTTCTAGTGGTTTATTGGAGATAAGAGTCTCCTGGACTTTTCCTGCCCGGCTGGCTTTGAACTGCGATCCTCAGATCTCAGCCTCCTGAGTAGTTAGGATGACGGGTGTGAGCCACCAGCGCCTGGCTAAGATTTTTTTTTTTTTTTTAAATAAAAGGCTCCCTTGAGTATGGCAACCTGGGGGGGGGGGAAGGGAGGGAGGCCATTCCTTTTGCTCAATCTCACATCTTGCCTCCTTCTGCTTCCAGCTCCACGTGCAGGAAGCTCCGGGCAACCCCCTGAACCCGGAGCCCACGCAGCCAGCCCCCAGCGTGGACCTGGACTTCCTAGAAGATGACATCCTGGGATCCCCCGCCCCGGGCGGCGGAGGCGGGGGTGGCGGGGCCACTGACCAGCCCTGCGACATCCTTCAGCAGAGCCTGCAGGAGGCCAACATCACGGAGCAGACGCTGGAGGCCGAGGCCGAGCTGGACCTGGGCCCCTTCCAGCTGCCCACGCTGCAGCCCGCTGATGGTGGGGCAGGGCCCACTGGAACCGCAGGGACAGCCACCGTGGCCACAGGGCCCCAAGCCCTCTTCCCAGGCAGCGCCGACCTGCTGGGGCTGCAGGCGCCGCCCACCGTGCTGGCGCACCAGGCCCTGGTGCCGCCCCAGGACGTGGTCAACAAGGCCCTGAGCGTCCAGCCCTTCCTGCAGCCTGTGGGCCTGGGCAATGTGACCCTGCAGCCCATCCCAGGCCTCCAGGGCCTGCCCAATGGCAGCCCAGGTGGCGCCACTGCAGCCACATTGGGCCTAGCGCCCATCCAGGTGGTCGGCCAGCCGGTCATGGCCCTCAACCCACCAGCCTCGCAGCTCCTGGCCAAGCAGGTGCCTGTCAGCGGCTACCTGGCCTCGGCTGCTGGGCCCTCGGAGCCTGTGACTCTGGCATCAGCCGGCATGTCGCCACAGGGCACCGGCCTGGTCATCCAGAAGAGCCTCCCGGCTGCTGTGGCCACTACACTCAATGGGAACTCGGTTTTCGCTGGGGCCGGGGCAGCCACCACGGGGGCTGGAGGGGCGCCCTCGGGACAGCCGCTGGCCGTGGCCCCAGGCCTGGGCGCCTCACCCCTGGTGCCTGCACCCAACGTGATCCTGCACCGCACGCCTACCCCCATCCAGCCCAAGCCGGCCGGGGTGCTGCCCCCCAAGCTCTACCAGCTGACCCCGAAGCCCTTCGCCCCTGCGGGTGCCACGCTCACCATCCAGGGCGAGGCGGGGCCACTGCCACCGCCACCCAAGGCCCCCCAGAACCTGACTTTCATGGCGGCGGGCAAGGCCGGCCAGAATGTGGTGCTGTCTGGCTTCTCGGCACCTGCCCTGCCCGCCAATGTCTTCAAGCCGCCCCCTGCCAGCAGTGCCCCAGGTACCACCGCCGCCCCGGCCGCTGGTGCCCCCCCACCGCCCCCCAGCGCCCTGAGCAAGCCCATGAGCCTGCACCTGCTGAACCAGGGCGGCATCGTCATCCCGGCCCAGCACGTGCTGCCTGGTCAGAACCAGTTCCTGCTGCCCGGGGGGCCCCTGGGTGGGCAGATCCTCGCCGCTGCCCCCCACGCGGGTGCCCCGCTCCTCGCCAACCCCATCCTGGCCAACCAGAACCTGGCGGCCCCGCTTAGCCTGGGCCCCGTGCTGGCCCCACACTCGGGGCCACCCAGCGCCGCACACATCCTCTCGGCCGCCCCCATCCAGGTGGGCCAGCCTGCCCTCTTCCAGATGCCCGTGTCGCTGGCCGCGGGCAGTCTGCCCACCCAGAGCCAGCCGGCTCCCGCCGGGACTCCCGCCGCCACCGTCCTCCAGGGTGTCGCGCTGCCCCCCAGCGCCGCCGTGGCCATGCTCAACGCCCCCGATGGCCTGGTGCAGCCCGCCACCCCCACCCCCGCCGCTGCTGCCGGGGAGGCCAGCTCGGTCCTCGCTGCCTCCGTGCAGCCCACCTCCGCTGGGCCTCCTGCCGTCAGCACCCCGCTACCCCCTGGCCTCCAGCCATCGCCCGCACAGCAACCTGCGCAGGTAGCCTCCACCCCACAGGCCTCCGGACCCCCTCAGGCCACCACCCCGCAGCCCAGCCCGGGCCTGGCATCCAGCCCCGAGAAGATCGTCCTGGGGCAGCCGCCCTCTGCGGCCACCTCGGCCATCGTCACTCAGGACTCCCTGCAGATGTTTCTGCCCCAGGTACCTGCGCTGGGGTGGGAGAGGGAGGCTGGTTGGGGGCAGTTACTTGGGGGTGGGGGTGTTCATGGGGTTGATGGGAGCAAGGCAGGGTAAGCCAGGCCCCAGGGGAGGCCTGTGAGGTGAGGGACCAGTCTGGGGTAGCAGTGGACAGATTGACAGGCTGACTGACCAATGGGCAAGGGACAGTACCGGCTGAAAGACAGGGCACGGGTTTCAGAGGGCATGGGGAAGATTTGGATGGGTGGGGAATGATGGATGCATGAAGAGAGGATGGATGGATGCAGGGTGAATGGATGATGAAGGTTGGATGATAGCCGGGCGCTGGTGGCTCACACCTGTCATCCTAGCTACTCAGGAGGCTGAAGTCTGAGGATCGCAGTTCAAAGCCTGCCGGGGCAGGAAAGTCTGTAAGATTCTTATCTCCAATAAACCACTAGAAAACCAGCTCTGTGGCTCAAGCAGTAGAGCTCTTGCCTTGAGCTGAAGAGCAGAGGGACAGCGCCCAGGCCCAGAGTTCAAGCCCCATGACCGAACAAAAGAAAAAAAAATGATGAAAGGATGGATTCAGTATAGATTAATAGATAGAGGATGGATTCGGTATAGATTAATGGATAGAGGATGGATGGATTCAGTATAGATTGGTGGGTAGAGGATGGATAGATAACAGGGTGAGTAGATAATGAACGGATTGATGATGACAGGATGGATTCAGTATAGATTGGTGGGTAGAGGATGGATAGGTACAGGATGAATGGATAGTGAAAGGATGGATTATGAATGAAGGCTATTCAGTAGATTGATGGGTTGAGGATGGATGGATGTAGAGTGAATGGATGATGGATGGATGGCTGATGAATGAAGGATGGATATAGGGTGAATGGATGATGGATAGATAGATATGGTAGGGAGAGGAAAGGTGGGTGGAAGTGGAAGATTGGCTGATAGAAAAGACTGTGGCCCCCAGATTGGTGCCACCACAGCGACCCTGGCTGCCCAGCAACCCTTCTCTGGAGCCTCTGGGGTGGTAGTCTTGAGTGGGAGGCTGGAGCCCCTGGGGACCTTCTGACCCTGTGCGGCAACCATTGCAGGAGAGGAACCAGCAGCCCCTCTCCACAGAGGGTCCCCACCTCTCCGTGCCTGCCTCGGTCATAGTCAGCGCCCCGCCTCCCGCCCAAGACCCAGCCCTGGCCACCCCCATCGCCAAAGGAGCTGGCCCTGGCCCTCAGGCCCCCGACAGCCAGGCTTCCCCGGCTCCAGCCCCCCAGGTAGACACCGGGCAGCCTCTGTCCTCAGCTGAGACCCAGCCTCCGCCCTCCCTTCTCCCTTGCGCACTGCCCCCTTGCTGCCCTGCCTGCCTCTGTCTCGCTGACTTGGGGAATGCCCCCGCTCGCCTCTCTCCCCTGCCCCACACTTCCCTAGTGTCTTCCAGGCATGTGATCGCCTCAGGTAGCCCAGGCTGTAGGCTAGGTTACAGAATATATCAGGACAAGAAATGGGGTGCTTTTCATGGCCAAGTTCACATGGTTTACCTTGCAAAAAGGCACTAGGAGGCACTCAGCCAAAAGCTCCGTGCTCCCCAGCCCTGAGCTCCCCGGCGCCATCTTCAATTGCCTTAGTGTGCTTAAACACCTCATGAACTGTGGACAAGTCTGTACAAGGTTTAACCCTGCATTTGTTGTTTAAACTCAATTCCAGAATCTGTTTTTTCAAATTAATTGATTTATTGTGTGTGCCAGTACTGGGGCTTGATCCACAGCTTCGCTTCTGGCTTTTTGGTGGTTAATTGGATGTAAGGGTCTTGTGGACTCAGATTGGTTTCCAGCCCTAATCTCAGTCAGGCTCCTGAGTACCTAGCTAGGATTGCAGGTGCGAGCCACTGACACCCAGCAAAGAGTTCTTGTTTTAATCTATATTTCTTCTACGTGAATGAGGTCAGGCAAGTATGGCTGATGTGCTTTGTAACTTTAAGCAAATGTGTTCAGGGAACAACTGGGACTAGGCCTGGAGGAGCGAGGAACAGCAGTGTGACCCTGTCTCCCAAGCAGGAGCATTTTCCTGTGTCTACAGGGAGTCTCCATTTTTTTTTTTATTTCATTTTATTTATATTTTTTGTCGGTTGTGGGCCTGAACTCTGGGCCTAGGCGCTGTTCTTCAGCTCTTCAGCTCAAGGTTAGCCCTGTACCACTTGAGCCACAGTGCCACTTCTGGCTTTTTCTGCTTTATGTGGTGCTGAAGAATCGAATCCAGGGCCTCATGCATGCAAGGCAAGCACTCTGTCACTGAGCCACCTTCCCAGCCCTGGAGTCTCCATTGAAACTTCACCACCTGGCCCATTTTCACATGCAGTACCAGCACAGAGAGAGACTAAACAGCCTAGGGCTGCCTAGCCAAGAATAGTAGTCTAGATTCAAAGCCTGGAGCTTTGACTGGGGCAGTTGTGAAAGCCAAACAATCAGACTCAGTTTACCCACCTGGGGGAAAGGAGTGAGGCCGCTGCCATGTATACAGGTACATGCGTCCCCTAAGGGAACAATTACCCAGCTTAAGAACGACTATGTTAGGCTGAGCACTGTGGCTCATTCCAAGAGGGTTGCATTTCAAGGCTAGCCTGGGCAGAAAAGCCTGTAAGACTCATTAACCAGCCAGAAAGCTAGGCTGGAGGCATAGCTCAAATGGTGGAGTCCGAGCTGTAGGCCAGCCAGCAGGCCCAGTAAGTAAAAGGTCCTGAGTTCAAGCACTGGTACTAGCAAAAAAAAAAAACAACAAAAAAAAACCCCATCCGTTTGCTACTTTGTCCTCCTTCTTCCTCCTCCTCTGTAGATTTTTAGTTGTTGTTTTTGGTTTTGTGTGTGTGTGCTGGTCCTGAGGCTTGAACTCAGAGCTGGGGCACTGTCCTTAAACTTTTTTTTTTCTCAAGACTAGCACTCTACCACTTGAACTACCTGCTCCATTCCCCCCCCCCCCCCCGCAACCCTTCCCCCGCCCCCCCCCCCCCCCCCCCCCGTTCTTACCTGATCATTTTACATACTGCTGTGGATTGGACTCAGCATCTCGTGCATGCTGACCACATGTTTCCCCCTGGGAGGCTAGCTTGGTCTTTGTGGCAAGGTTGTGGGGTGTAAGATGTGGTCTGGGTGTTACCCAGCCTCTGCAGGGACCCCATGACCCCTCCTTCGTAGGCTCTGCATTGTAGGTTCTGGGGCAGGTGCTGGAGGCCCAAGGGCGTGGCCCTCCTGGGAGTCCTGGGCCCCAAGCAGCCTGCTGTGTAGGCTAGGAAGTGATGAGCATGGTAGGCACATGCTAGGCAGGAGGTGATGAACTTGGGGAGCACTCATCTCCCCTTCCTGCCACCCCCTCCTGGCGCGATCTGTGTGAGGCTGCTGTGCTCCCCAATACTTGGTCACTGGCGTGATGATGGGTTTCTGGGGACCCGTCAGCTGCCTCTGGTCTCTGTCAGTGGAGGTTGGCAGTCTAGCATTAGGTACATGCTTGGAATCACTGGTTTCACGCATTCCTGATTCTGAGGAGCCTGGTTTTGGGGGGAGCCCCTTGCATATTGCACAGTGCAGCAAAGGTCCCCCACATACCTGCAGACTCAGGGCCACCTGGGTCTGATAAAGAGGCACACAACTAGGCCGGTGCCCCTTCCCCCATTTCAGAGAGACCCCTGGACACACAACAGCCCAGGACTGGAGGTCAGGACCCCTCCTCTGCCCCACGCGGTGTAGCACCCTGCTTTTAGCCTGGCACCCACGGCCTTGGCTTGGCTGCTGGGCAAGGTCCACTGCCCCTTCCTGCTGCCACACTGCCCCCGCTGCTGCTTTGCCGCTGCCCCCGGTCCCCCAAATCCTGCAAGCTCGCCTTCTACTGCGGGGAGGGGTGCAGTGGGGCGGAAGTGGGGAGACCGGCGTACAGACACATGTGGGATGGAGGGCAGGATGGGGTGCGGGGCAAAGCGGGGAAGAGGAAAGGGGCTTCAGCAGGGCCCATCCTCAGAACGGAGGCCTGCAGAGAGGGGGGCTCGGGGCAGGGTGCCAGGGGAACCCCGACTGTTGGGGCAGTGGGAGAGGAGGCTGGGCTAACCTGCTCTCCCTCTCCCCCTGCCCAGATCCCAGCTGCAGCTCCGCCGAAGGGCCCGGGCCCCGCCTCCTCCCCCTCACTACCTCACCAGGCCCCCCTGGGAGACAGCCCCCACCTACCCTCCCCTCACCCTGCCCGGCCCCCCTCCCGGCCCCCTTCCCGGCCCCACTCCCGTCCCCCCTCCCAGCCCCAGAGCTCTTCCCGCCCCCCCTCTGAGCCAGCCCTGCACCCCTGCCCCCCACCCCAGGCGCCCCCCACCCTGCCTGGAATCTTTGTGATCCAGAACCAGCTGGGTGCCCCCCTGCCCACCAGCACCCCGGTCCCCGCTGCCCCTGGCCCCCCGCAGCCTCCTCTGCGTCCCCCGTCCCAGCCTCCCGAGGGGCCCCCAGCCCCTCACCTTGCCCCAGCCTCCACCACCTCCACTGCAGCCTCCTCTGAGCCACCCACCAGGTTGCCAGCCCCGACGCTACCCGACTTCCAGCTCCAGTTCCCCCCTGGCCAGGGCCCCCACAAGTCCCCCACACCCCCTCCGACTCTTCACCTGGTCTCCGAGCCCACAGCACTGCCCCCACCGCCTCCTCGGACCTTCCAAATGGTGACCGCCCCCTTCCCAGCGCTGCCCCAATCCAAGGCTCTCCTGGAGAGATTCCACCAGGTAACAGGGGCGGGGAGGACCGGGGCCTGCCCCCATGTGTACACAGTTCCTTCTTTGCCCAGGACCCCTGACCATGCCCACCGCCTGCCAGCCCAAGCCCCACACTTCTCACCCACCTGTCTTTCCTCAGGTACCATCTGGGATCATTCTCCAGAACAAGACTGGGGGAGCCCCTACCACCCCGCAGACCTCCACCAGCCTAGGGCCCCTGACCAGCACCCCTGCCTCCGTGCTGGTCAGTGGGCAAGCCCCACCTGGGACCCCCGCCACCGCAACCGCCAGCCACACCTCAACCCCGGCACCCATGGCCGCAGGTAGGGGAGGTGAAGGGACTGGGGGAGAGGGGGAGGTGGGCTTGATGGGGTGAGGAGGGACCTTCACACCAGTGACTCTGGCCGCTCTCTCCCTTGCCCACCCCAGGCCTCCCTCCTCTGCTTCCTGCCGAGAGCAAAGCTTTTGCCAGCAACCTCCCAGGCCTGGGTGTGGCCAAGGCCACTGCTTCCGGGCCAGGGAAGACCTCCGTGCTGCAGGTATGGGGAGCTCGGGCTAGGGAGGAGGGCGCACCAGTAATGAACTCAAAAGGGAAACTGGCTGGAAGGGAAGGATGGAGTTAACGGTACCCAGCGCCAGGCAGAGGCAGCCAAGACACATGAGAACCAGACAGGGACAGCAAGGGGCAGGCAGGACCGCCCAGGCAGCTGGTACCGAGATGTCTGGTAACAATGTGAGATGCCCCAGGACAGGAGCAGGTGACACTGGGGGGCATAGACAGGGTCAAGACCACAGGGTGGTTGGGCACCAGCGGCTCATGCCTGTCATCATAGCTACTCAGGAGACAGACCTGAAGATTGTGGTTCTAAGCTAGCCCAGACAGAAAAAAAAAGTCCCTAAGACTCTTACCTCTAATTTAACCAGAAAAAGCTGGAAGTGGGATTGTGGCTGAAGTGGTAGAGTGTCAGCCTTGCACAGAAAAGCAAAAGGACAGCACCCGGACATGAGTTCAAGCCCCAGAAGCCCCCCCCCCCCATGTACACAGAAGGTCCTCTATAACTTGAGCCATGCGCCCAGTTCTTTTTTTGCTTACTTTTCTGATAGGGTCTTGAATTTTTTTTGCCCAAGCTGGCCTTGAACCACCATCCTCTCCTGTGCCTTCCCTTCTGGGATTACAGGCTTGTGTGTGACCCTTGCTGCCGTGTGTGTCCCCCACCCCACCCCTGGGCAGGTCTCTGGCTTTCTCTGTGTGCACATATAATTAGCTCACCTTAGTTATTCCAAGGGAATCCAATCCACAGCTGAGGCCTGGCTGGAGCGGAGGACCCCCACTCCCCCCCAGCAGTCACTGGTCTCTCTCCTTCCTCCCAGTATGAGAGCAAGATGAGCAGCCTGAAAAAGCCACCCCTCCTGCAGCCCAGCAAGGAAGCCTGGTAAGTGAGTGAGATAGTGGCAGAGAAGGGGTGGGGAGGTCTGGGATATAGAGGACCCCCCTCCCCCCCTTCCCCGCTGGAGTATGAAATAGCAGGGAGAGGAGAGAAAAATCTTAGATGCAAAGTTGGTGGGGATGTTCTTCCCCCACCTGGTGGGAGACAGAATTGCATGGAGTCCAGCCTCCTATTTCTTTTCCTGCTTTGGGTTGCTCTGGGCAGGAGCACCTCTCTGGGTCTCAGTTTCCTCTTTGATAACACAGGGGTGCAGGTGGCAGCTGCCGACTTTGTCCTGTTGGCACATGCTCCTTTCCCCTTGCAGTGTCCAGCTTGGGGCTGGAGGCTGGGGCCTGGGATGGGGTCCTCACCCCACTCTGTGATCTCTACCCCCTGCCCTGCCCCCAGTTTCCTGGAGCATTTGCACAAACATCAAGGATCCGTCCTGCATCCCGACTACAAGACGGCCTTCCCGTCCTTCGAGGACGCCCTGCATCGCCTCCTGCCCTACCATGTCTACCAGGGTACCCTGCCCTCCCCCAGTGACTACCACAGAGGTGAGGCTCCCCACCAGTGTTCCTGTGCCCTCCCCGCCCCCCAGCTTTGGGACTGGCACTGGGTGTGGGGGACAGGGGGGTGGGCGGTAAAGCCTGGGCATATCTGGCTGCACATGCATACTTGTGGCCTGTGCTGCGCGTGCGCATTCGTGGGCCCTCCATACGCACACATCCGACCTCGGGCCTTGCTGGCTCTTCCTCCTGGTAGTGGACGAGGAATTCGAGACGGTGTCCACGCAGCTGCTGAAACGCACCCAGGCCATGCTGAATAAATACCGGCTCCTACTCCTGGAGGAGTCCCGGGTAGGGTCCCCATCTCCCCCTCACCTGGGAGGGAGGATGGAGGGGAGGCCACAGGCCTGGACTCAGGACAGACAGCAGGAGCCCACCTGGACCCCCAGGCTGGACGCCTCGCTCCCTTCCCCATCCTCACTCTTTTCTCTTCCTCCCCCCGCCCTCTCCAGAGGGTGAGCCCCTCAGCAGAGATGGTTATGATCGACCGCATGTTCATTCAGGAGGAGAAGACCACCCTAGCCTTGGACAAGCAGCTGGCCAAGGAGAAGCCAGGTGAGAGGCAAGGGGGCAAGACACCTCAGATGCCCTCTGTGAGAGGCGAGAGGGTGATGCAACCCAAAACATGCCCCTGTGAAAGCTGAGTGGGCGCTGTACCCCAAATCCCTCCCCCCACAGAGTTGGGGGTGCATGGCTCTGCCTCCCTTGGCCACCAGGTGGTGCCAGAGCCCTGTCCAAGAAATGAGAGCAGGCCCGGCTCCATTCTCCATTCTCACCATTCTCCATACCTGTCGGGTGTTGCCATCCCTTAAAAGAGCCCTCAAGTGTTTCCTCCCAGTGTCTCCAGTGCCCACCCTGGTCTACAGGAGGCAGGTGGGGGGGGGGGCTAGAAGAGCATCGCTGGGCTATACCTCAACTACCCTGGTTCAAATCCCAGCCCTCTGGGCCCTGGCTGGGTGAGCTGGGCTGTCAGATGCTCTTTCAAGCAGCTGCGATTACAGGCGCACCTTGCCAGGCCCATGCTCTTCCAGTTCTCTGGGACCCTCTCACCGGGTCGTGGCTCGGGGCGCTCTTGGGGGTTAGGGGGAGCCCCGTGTGCCCAGGTTCTTGCCAAAGCCAGGTCCTGCGTGCACCTGGCAGGCCACGAAGGTGGGGTGGGGTGGGGGGGTCCCCTCGGCCAGCCCTCCTGAGCATGTGGATTTTCCTCCCCGGCCTCGCAGACGAGTACGTGTCTTCCTCGCGGCCCCCGGGCCTCGCCATCTCAGCCCCGACTTCGTCCTTGTCCTCCGAGGGCCACCGGCCCCCGCCTGCCGCCTCGGCCCCCGCCCCGGCGCAGCCTCCTGCGCACCCACCCACCAAGCTGGTGATCCGGCACGGGGGCGCGGGCGGCTCCCCATCGGTGACCTGGGCGCGGGCCTCGGCCTCGCTGGACGCGGACGAGGACGGCCCCATGCCCTCCCGCAACCGGCCGCCCATCAAGACCTACGAGGCCCGCAGCCGCATCGGCCTCAAGCTGAAGATCAAGCAGGAGGCCGGGCTCAGCAAGGTGGTGCACAACACCGCGCTGGACCCAGTGCACCAGCCGCCGCCCCCGCTGCCACCGCCG